GGGAGAAGGCACCTTGTTTCTAAGTTTCACAGATCGTAGGTGGAGAAACACTGACCCATCATCAGGTGGATGATGTCTGGAGCCTCATGTGTACTTGCTTTAGACATGGAAGTTTAGGCCTCTGGGATTTAGATGAGATATTGCACTTTGATGATTTAATGGGATGACATCTTTGAGAAGTCTGGAATGGCTGAGGTGAAACTTTAGGTATAGATTGTGATTGGGAGAATAATGGTCCCCAAGTGACAACTACATCCTAATCTCCAGAACACATGCATGTGTTACACTGTGTGACAAAGGGAATTAAAGCTGGAGGTGAAGGTTTCTACTCAGCTGATTTAAAGAAGGGAGGTTATTTATCCTGGATCATACAAGTGGGCCTCTCCCTCTCCCTCTCCCTCTCCCTCTCTCTCCTCTCTCCCCCTCCCCCCCCCCCTCTTTCTCCTTGTTCCTTACTGGGGATATAACTCATGACCTTTCACTTGCCACTCGGGGGCTGTGCTGCTGAGCGACCTCTCTTCAGAGAAAGGAGTGGCCCTAGGGTGCCACCCAAATTGAAGTGGGTGGAGGGGACCAATTTCCTCAGTCCCATTGTTCCAGCTGTACAGTTTGAGGTAGCAAGGAAGTCTGGGTCAAGGAATAAGGTGGCTTATAAAGCCTGGAAGTAATCTCTAATTAACACCAACAAGAAAATGAGCATCTCCGCTCTACAGTCAGAAAAAAGTTGAATTTTGTCAGTAACTAATGAGCAAGAAAACAGATTCTCCCTCGATCCTCCAGAGAGGAATGCATTCCTGCTAAAGTCTTAGTTTTAATATGGTGAGAAGATGCCATACTCTGACCTCCACAACTGTAATACAATAAATCTCTGTTGCTTTGACGCATTATGTTTGTGTTGAATTTTGTATGGCAGCAACAGAAAACTAATGCAAAATCAAATATTTTAACTTCTGTGAGCATTTCATTTTTATAGAGGGCGGCAGTCAATTAAAAATATATGTACATATTAAAAGGCAATAAAGCGTATTAGAAGGTAATAATATGAAAGAAAATCTAGAATAAGGGAATGATAGTGAAAATCAAAACAGCGCGTGCAGTGGGACTGCAAAATTCACGGGGTTACGTTCCCAGAGCACTTGCAAACTGTGGAAAACTAAATTTCAGAGATGGCAAAAATGCCTTTAAATGTCTATTTTTACTGTTTAAACTCTAAATATGCTATGTGTCTCACAGGTATGTCATTGAATTTTAAAAATTACTGCATTAATAAAGCCTTAGAACATTCAGGGCATTTTGGTGGCATCTTAGGGCCTTAAGAGGAACAAAACTGGGAACACTGCTGCCCACAGCACACACAGCTGCAGCAACCAGTTAAGCTGCGGGAAGGCTGGTGCCCTGGCTGAGATGGGTACCTGCAGCAGCCAATCAGCAGCAGGGAGAACTGAATAACGTTCTCAGATTGGCTCCTTGCAAACCTCCTGCCAAAAAACACTGTGGAGGGTATTAATGGTTTCCGCAAAATTGCAGGGGTTTCCTGGAACAATTGTTACATTCTAAGGAAAAATCCATTAGCAGCTGAGGCCATGAACTCTGAACCGAGACTTCACAGGATTATAATGCATTAGGAAAGGGCCTTCTTTTCAAAGGGACATTTGAATAAAGTGTAGAGGTCAGCAGTATAATTTTAGCAGTTGAAGTAGAATTTAGCAGTATTTTATTAAATAAAGTAATTGTTACCCAACTTGTTTCAAACCATAGTGTAAGATTTAAATTAAGATATATACTTGTCCTAGGTTTATCACAGGACAAATGATTGCTTATTGTAGTGATTAAGTTTATATTTAAAAGATTGTCTTTTCCTGTACTGCTTATTATTTTTCTAAATTCTTTATGATTTTCATATGTTGAGAAGTACACAGTCTTCTCGAATATGTTGTAACTTCTCAAAGTTTTTCTAAAGCCCTGATGGTGTTCCTTTATTATTAGTTTTTTATTCCCAATGAGGTCTTTCTAGTTCCATGGAATTCAACATGACATAGTAGGAAAAGCTAGGTGCTTTCCGAGGCAAATCGCTGTATGTTAGGTGCTATAAACTTTGCCAAGTTAGTGGCCCATTCTTAACTTCTGTTTCTACTACAAAAGTCAAATAAAATCTTGCATTATTTTGAAAAATACTTTCAATTATTTCTACAGATTTTTCCCTCGACCTGAATTTCTGAAACAAAATAAGCATCCAATATTTTCTGAAATTGTGTAATAGCTAATCATTTCAATGTAAGCCAATCTGAGAATAAAGACAATCTACCCCGTTTTGGTGTGAATTCAGCAAGGTCTGAATCTTTATTCCTGGTATTTTGCTTGAGGTATTCAGTATGAGGCAACATGGCAGGAAGGAAGCTCATATTTTGGAACAGGAAGAAGCTGTCATCTCATTACAGATTAGCAGTCCATAATCAGGTTCCTGTGTAATATGTGGAGTTTTATGACCATGAAAAGTTCTTTAAATTGTCTTTGAAAACTTCTTTCAAAATAAATGAATGGTTTCAAAAATCCCAAACAATTTTTTCCTTTTCTCAAAGCCTTTGAATAGAAAGAAAAGGAGAGGAAAACGAGAGAGGGGTAAGAAAGGAAAGATAATGCGATTTAGTGCAAGATAGCATTGGCCCCTCAAGTGGCTAAGGAGGAATATTTACAATATTTTAGATGCAAACCCTAAGGTTATATAGAAGCAGCTCTCAGAAAGGTAAAAAGGATGTCTTTATCTTTTCCCCACTGGATAGCAGGAAGAAAATGACACAGAAAATTTCTACTTTTAACTAACACAATCAAATTTTGTCTTACTTGTCTGATTCAGTTTGCTGTAATTGGCAGGAAGTTTATTTAGGAAAAAGAAGATATTTAGAACAAAGACTCCTACTTGAGAGGCTATATGCAGAGCCAGTTCTGATATGGCTCATATTTATTTTCCCATTTGTTATTGATTAAGCGGAGAGGTTAAGCTTCTCTGTCTTCACATATCTGAAGAAAAACTTAAGGATGTTTAATTTCATATTAACAAGTTATATGACATCTTACAGCTTCTATTTTCTTAAACTTATATAATAATAGTAATCTTGCAGAGATAAGGTGAGACATCATTTTGAATTGCCATGAACATAGTAAACCACTGTGATATGGAATTTAAATTGCTGTGGTGCTCATCACTGTTAATACATGTAATTAATTAATGCTGTACTTGGCAAGCTATCAGCCACATTCTATGAAAGTTTAAGCAGCCATTGCCCAATAATGTGTTAACAAATAAAACTGTGAAATTGTCGGTGTCACTCCCGGCCGGCAGGAAGGACACACAACAAAGTCTGGCAGTGGACAACCTTTTCTTTTATTTTCCTTCTCCGTACAGCCTGCCCCGGGAATCCTCCCGGCCGAAGCCTCTGTTGGTCCGCTCCCCGCGGCTCCTTGCGTGCTTCTCCCTACAGTCTGTCCCGAAGCCTCTACCGGTCCGCTCTCCGCGGCTCCTTGCGTGCTTCTCCCTACAGTCTGTCCCGAAGCCTCTACCGGTCCGCTCTCCGCGGCTCCTTGCGTGCTTCTTCTGCTTCTTTTTTCGTGGCGGGAGAGGCACTCACTTTTATAGGGTTACAGTGGCCAATCAGTTCAAAGCGCGCGATGCAGGCTGATTGGCTAACATCAGTTGTTGCTAGGCAGACTATCTTACAGCGCGGGTTGTGAAGCAGGAGATCTTACAGGGCGGGTTGTTTACCAAGCAGGAAGCAGGAGATCTTACAGGGCGGGTTGTTTACCAAGCAGGAAGCAGGAGATCTTACAGGGCGGGTTGTTTACCAAGCAGGAAGCAGGAGATAAGCGCCATCTTAGCACACTCGATGGGAGGGGTAATCTAGCTCAGGCTTTGCTCTTTCCTACAGGCCTCACGTCCGCCAAGTAAGGCGACCGGGCTCGGCCGCGGCTCCCAACATGAAATAAATGTTAAAAACTCTGCCTGTTCTTCTTAAAATGTAATAGATTTGGTGCTGGTGGAGTATGGAGTACAGACCAAACAGGCTATCAGGATAGATGTCTCCCTAAGATTATACATTATACGAGATGAATTCCGACTCTAGACCCAGCACAGCATCTTAGTTCCTCAGTGCTGCCCCTGGACCCACTCAGCTTCACAGCGAACAGGATGCATCGCTCCTGGTAAAAGTCTGGAGCCAGGCTGGCTTGCCAGTACTCAAGTGATAAGGGAAAGCAAGATGACTCTACAATCTGCCTGAGATTAGAATACAAACATCATGATTTTGAATTGAAAAATAGAGCAAATGGTACTAATTTTTTTCTCCAGAGGTGATAAGACATTGAGGATGAACATTAGCAGTTTCAAAGATTCAGTCTTATACACACTGAGTCTTTGATCTGTTTTGGGCTGAACTTTGTATAGTATAAGAGATAGGAATCTAGTTTCAATTTTATGGGTGTGGATATCCAGTTTTCCTAGCATCATTTCTTAGAGCAGCTATCTTTTTTTTCTACCCTTTGTTAAGAATCAGATGGTTGGGTTGGGGACTCAGCTCAGTGGCATAAGCACCTGCCTGGTAAGCGTGAAGTTGTGTTTGATCCCTGGTACCACAAAAAAAGAAAAAAAAAAAGAATCAGATGGTTGCAGTTCTGTGGATTTGTTTATGTGTTCTATATTCTGTTCCAGTGGTCTATGTGCCTATTTTTGTAGAGATCCTTCATCACTTCATCAGATTGATTTTTAGGTATTTTTATCTTTTTTAAAAAACCATAGTGAACAGAATTGTTTTCTTGATTTCTTTCTCAACTAGTTCATTATTAATGTTTAGAAAAACTACTGATAATTTAGTATGGATTTTATATCCTGAGAAAAAACACACATTCTGTACTATTAACTCTTTCCCTAAGTCTTTAATTCTTTCTTTATTCTAATGGTGAAAAAATATATAATCTATTTTACAATTAATTTTCTCTTTGTATTTAAGGTTATTTTCCCTGTCTCATCTTGAGGAACTTGATATTTCCTACTGTGAAATCACTTCTATTCCAAATGACATCCAGAAACTCAGGTATTAGGGAAGTAATAAATATACAGAAAGTCATATACCCCCATAAGAATATTTGGTGATGATTTTGACAGAAAATATTGTATGTATATATTGCCTGCTATAAAATGTAACATGCAAAGTATGAAATTTATCAAAATGTAGTTTAAATGATTGGTGTACAGTATTTTTAAGTTATATGTTCAATGATTATTTTGAAGGATGATACTATATAGGACAACTTAATAAAATGAAAAACTATTTTGTGCATTTTTCTATATAGATCACTGTGCCTCTTACCCATTTCACTTATTTTTTTAGTAATGATACATATAGATACAAAATATTCTTAATATACATTGTAATTTTAATGCTAAAATATATTAATTAAGAAAATTAACTTTCAAAAAATTCTGAACTTCATCTGTGTTCTTTTGGTCAATACCATACTATTCTGATTATAATTTTAGAATAATTTTAATACTAGTAGTGAGGTTATTTTCAGTAATAATCTCTTTACTATTTTCTTAAGATCTTAATCTTTAAGATCATTTTGTATAATTCCCAGCCCTTCCTTCAATGCATATAAACACAAACCTGGCACTTTATTTATAGTGATTTTGAGTTTACACAAAAGTTTTGAGGAATTTTATATTTGATAATAATATAAATTTTTTATTTAAAGAGAGCGAAACAAAACAGAAAACAGGCAGAAATAGTACATACTTGCAAAGAAAAAAATACACAGTAATAAATCAGTAGTTAATGTTTATATATTGTCCCCCCACAAATAATTGTTCAAGATACAAAAGTGGAGCATATAAATGGGAATTCAACCAGGGAAACTGCAAACAGTTCTGTTCAACTATCCAACAAATACTGAGTAATAGGGCTATCAATCCTATACACTTAGACATGTATGCATTTATCCATACTTCATTTATGTTGAGACCAAATAAAACATAGCAGATTAAAATCATTCTGAATAAAGATTAATAGTATTGTTGGATTTCACATCATGACACTCCGGAATCAGCACTGGGTACTGCAGTGCCCCTTTCTTTCCTTCAGAGATTTGTTCATTTCCTCATGTGTCAGAAGATCAGTTCTCATAAACTGTTTATAGGTTTTACGCAAGCATCAGTCTTAACATGTATTTCTATCCTTTCTATATTAGAGAGAGAAATAGAACTGAATAGGACAGAACAAAACATATTCCTATAGACACATAAAACTAAAAAAAAGACATGTAAAACTGCTGTATAAGGAGTTCTATCATGGTTACTGTGCTATCTCTTGTTTCCATCAACAGAACTGGCTATATTATCAGATAAAGTATAATTGAATATATCAGTTCATTACATAATTAATAGAAATACAACTTTGTAGATAGTGTAGAGCTAGAAAAACAGGTAGCAGTCAAATCAGAATGGGTATCGTGTGAATCATTGTCATTTTCAGTATAGTTGTCTATACTCTCCAACTTGATACCATCAACCGACCAGTTTTGAGTAAAATCTGTCAATAATAAGCAGCAATCAGACAAATCAGATTTAACTAAGATCAGTCAAGATACAACAGTATAAGTCATACAGGGATCTGGATTAAGTTAATAGGAAATTAAAGATGACCTCTGTGCTATGTCCTGATAGCTGTCTGTGCCTTCAGATACAGTGCTTGTGTACAAACTTCCATCCAAGCAGAGTGGTGTGAATAATATGGATTTTAATTCCTGATACAGTATCATCAATATCTTCTGCTGTCTTTTTTAAAGACTATTCCTCCCCTTTCACTCCCCCAGGATGTACTTGTATTTTTGGGTCTCCCCAACACTCTCGGTTTTATATTAGTGGGGCAACCTGCTATTTACCTAAATGTTTCCAAACTTTATCACTCCTGGACTTGATCTCTAGTTGTATTTCTTCACTTATTAAAGCCTGTCTTTTCAACTTATCCATTAGTATTGGTCTATTTGCCTCTATTACTCTCTGGTTCCCTATCACATCAAGTTCTGTTTTCTCATATTTGATTTTGGTCCATATACCCTTCTTCAGGTTAATTATATTCCCTATAAAGAACATCTCAGTGGACCCTACCCCTTGATCCACTCTGCCTGTGATTCTCTCTTTTTTCCCTTAAGTTAGTGTATCTAGGCCTTCTATATTAGAAATTATATCCAACCTTCTGTGCCTCATTTCTGTTGAGTTCTTTTTCCATCATTAGTTGTCTTTTGTCTTCTTCATTTTGCTTTTTGTTTCATTCACTAGGGCCTCTCTGCCACTGTTCCTGAAATCTTGGTGCTTATCTCTCTCTCTTTAGAATGTCCTGCAGTATTCTCTGTAGAGTTGGATTGGTGGTTGCAAATTCCTCCAATTCCTCTTTAGCTTGGAAGCATCTTGTTTCTCCATTAATTTTTAGGAACAATTGTGCAGGATAGGTCAACCTTGGCTGGAGGTTATTTTCTTTCAAGGATTGGATTATTTCGCCCCATGCTCTTCTTGATTTGATGGTTTGTGCCAAGAAGTCTGACATAATTCTGATGGGCTTTCCTTTGTAAGTGATCTGGTTCTTGTCTCTGACAGCTTTTTTATATTGTTCTTTTTTTTTTTATTTTTGTCTTTTTCTTTTTTATCGGTACCAGGCTTCAAACTCACGACTGCCTGCTTGCAAGGCAGGCGCTTATGCCACTGAGCTAAATCCCCAGCCCCTATATTCTGTTCTTATATTGGATTTCTGGAATCTTGATTATTATATGCCTGGGTATAGTTCTGTTTTGGTTGTAGGTGGCTGGAGTTCTGTATGTCTCATACATCTGAGCATCTTTTCCTTTTCCTATGGTTGGGAAGTTTTCCTTAATTATTTCTGTGAATATCCTTTGTAGTTCCTTTGTTTGTACCCTGCTTCTTCATTCACATTCTTTATTCTTAAGTTATAGATCCTCTTGTCATCTTGTAGCCTTTGTATTTTTACTGCTTGGTTCTTTGTTATTTTTAAGAAATTTTTCCTTTCATGTTCCTACATTGCAAACCTGTCCCGCAGTTCGGATAGTCTATCCTTAGTTTCTTTCAAGTAGTTTTGTCAGCTTTCAATGGAGTTTTTAATTCCTGGTAATCTCTTTGAACCTGCTTCAAGTATTCTATGTTTTCTCTATTTTCTCCATCAAATAATTCTCCCCTTTTTTTTGTTCTTCCATTCTTCCATCTGTTTTTTCTTGGGTGATGCTTAGCATTTCTTTAACTATTCTACTTATATCTTGCTTTACTTGGTTAAATATTTCACTTTTGAACTCGCCTATGTGGTCCCGGAGATATTGTTTTATGTCTATAGGTGCCGTGTCTGATATTGCATGTTTTCTGTCTTCGTTCTCTTTTGCATTTACCTTTCCTGGATCAGTGTTCTCAGGATTGGAGCTGAGGACCCTTTGTTGTTGCTCCCTCTTCCCATACTTTTTGTTCCTTCCATACAGGCATATATAGGAGGCCCAGATTCTTTCTTTGTTGGTTACAGTTTGTTTGAATCTGGCTGGCTAGATGTTCCCGCCCACTGCAGTGTACTAGGGAGACGCAGATGGGGCAGCCTCTGATGGGCCTGCCCCTCCAGGTCAGTCAACCTGCTAAGGCTTCACTGTGTTAGGGTGCACTGCCAGGCGTAGGGACTTGATTTGGGCTAGCCTACTGGGTCTTAGTCCACGGCATTACCCAGGTGGAGTGCACCCCACCAATCCCGCTTGAGAAGGGAGTAGCTGGCTGAAGTCACCGGCTCCTCATTCTAGCCTATCTGCCCGGTCCCAGAATGTCGTCTGTTGGAGCTCCCCCTTCTGTATGGAAGAGTTTTTATTCCTCTCACTCACCGCAGGTCGATGCGGGGTTCCCGCCAGCTCTGCTCTCAATGCGGTTCGCCAACTCCTGCCCTCGGTGTGAACGCCTCCCCAGTGAGTTGAAGTTGGCAGGCACTAGTTCAACACAGCAGCAGCAGCGAATCCAAACAGGGAGTTCAAGTGGCAGTGCTGAGACTTTAGCTGTTCCATTTGTATCACCGGGATTGTATTTTTAATTGTTTCTTTTTCAGCTTAATTTGTTCCTGGGTCGGGAGGGTCTATCTCCCTCTGTTTGGGACTCCCCACGCTGTGTTACTTTTGGACTCTAAGTTGACTATCTCAGAGAGCTTCTGTTGATTGCTATCTATCTGCCATCTTCGGGACTCCCAGGTTGATCAATAATACAATTTTTAACTTTAAAACATAAATTGTATCCTTTTTTTCACATTTTGTTTAAATGTTCCATAAAAATTTATGACTCATTTCATAAGTCAAGAACTTATGACCATTTCATTTCTATATATTTTTATAACTGTTTTACTATTACAAAGATGCTTTTATTTTCATCTTGGTGGAATATGGCCTGTATAAAATAGAGAAGAACCATGTGTTTCTCTGTGATACTGGGAACTGGAACCAAGGCCTTCACATTGCCCCCCCCCCCAGGCCTTTTTAATGTTTTTTTTTTTTTTAATTTTCGAGCCAGGGATTTGCTAAGTCACTAAGGTGTCCAGGCTGGTCTCAGTGTTCCACACATCCAGATCCATAAGCCTGTGCCTTCACGCCAGGAAGCTACGTCCTCCTTTATATTAGTTTAAAATCAAGCCGTGTCACCAAATCTCTTATTAGTTCTGATTGAGTTTTCTGGTGGCTCTGATTGATTTCTTTTAATTTTCTAGAAGTATGAGTTTATCTTCAGCAAAATGAAAAAAAATTTTCCTCTGATTTTATATTTATACCAATTACTTAATTTCTCATGTGACAATTTTTGTTCTTTAAGAGGAGAATTCAGCATATTTCTATTTGATATACCTGATCATTTGATTTTTGCCTTTTATTTTACTTTGTATTTACTATTTACTTTCCTTTTTTCCCGTCTCCTCTTCTGCTTTCTTTTCATTTTCTCCTGTTATTTTTGGAGCTTAACTGTACTTTCCTAAGCTCAGAATCAAACATGATTTTCTTTCCTGTTTTGTACAGGTCCCTCATAATTGTCTGCTTCCCCATATTTTCATCAGTCTTATGATTTACGATATTTTTATTTTCCTATTTTCCCTCCAAACCCTCCTGTACCTTACCTAACTTTGGTTTTGAGATGATTTAGAAATTTACGCGATAGATTCTCACCAGTTTTTCCTTTACGTCTTGTCTCTTTATTAAAAGATACTTAGCATTTAATTCTCAAAATCATTTTCAAGCATTTTCCATTGATGTGTTTCCACGCATGTGTTTCAGGATCCATTGCTTCCTGCTTTTTCCCTTTCCTCTTTCATCTCATTTTGAACATGGAAAGAGGCCACTTTTGATTCCATGGCCGCTTGGAGTTTCCCTGAAGTCTTTCCCTCAGACGGAGTGCATGGGTAATTGTTTCTGAGTTGTTCACTGCAGCAGATAAATGATGACGGGGGTAGGTGGATCTTGCCTCAAAACCTTTTCTACGTAGTCTTCGTCAGTCAGACGTGGCAGGCAAGTAACTTGATGCCAGTCTAAATTTTTTCTTTGGGAGTGACTTATTTTTATCTGAAAACATTTAAGATTCTCTCATGATCTTTGTTGATCTTCAGGAACTTTATCAGGTCACATTTATCTTTTCTTTTTTTAATGCTTCTTTTTTGAAATTCAGCGAATTCAGTCTGCCATCTCAAACATTCTAAAATGCCTACCATTTATATGTTAGATATGCTGGATCTGTAATCCATGGTACCTGTATTTTTCTTCATGATTTTCCCTGTATTTTGGCCATTTTTTATTTTACTTTTACTAGCATGTGTGTGGGATACATGACAATGGCATTCACCTTGAGTGACTGGTGTATATACATCGCCCCTGACGGCCACCTTTCTGTCCCCCCCCCCCACTTTTCTGCTATCCCCACATCTCCTCTCTATGTCCACAAAGTTGTTGCTCAGTTTTATTTCTCCTACTTTGCTTCTCATTTGTATCCCCTTGAAGGCTGTGTTTTTCTTGTGTCTGCTTCGTTTTTTACTTTTGCAAATCATGTGTTTCTTTTACTCACGAAAGTTTTGAGCCCATGTGTAGGTGCCCGTCTTGTCTGAATTTAAGTCTGATCTAGTGCTTCTCCTGCCCTCACCCAACTTCTTACCCGTGTCTCAGAGCGAGCTCGCCTTGGGGCAACAGTTCTGTGTGTCGAGTTTTCCTCCTCTGGCCACTCTTCCTCCGTGTGGCCCATTGACAGCCCCCGAATACCACTCGGAGCTCTGACACTATCAGTGGTCAGTTGCAGGAGGAAGTTCCTCAGCACCCCGTGTTCAGGCTGTAGAGCTGTCCAGACACGAGCTCTTCCAGTTTTGAGGGCTGTTTAACCTGCCTACCTCCTCAACTCACTGCTGCGTCCTCCAAGATAAACCCACTCAGGCAGGGGCAGCCTCCCTCGCCAGAGCTGCTCAGATACCCGGAGGGGGGTTAATGCGGATGAAAAAAGACAGACACAAAACTGCAAGATGCAAGGGGCACCAGGAAGAGATTTGCTTCTAGTGAAAAAGCTGCCAACCTCCACAAGGAACTCATTTTTATTAACAATGGGATTTTGTGTCATTCTTAGCACAGGTGAAGGGGATTTTGAAAAATAAGGAACAGGTGAAACTATTTAGTGAAACTTTAAAAGAGGTCAAGGTGAAAAGTGGGATAAGTTCCTTAATTCCACATAATTTGCCCTTCCCAAAGCAAGACAGGACAGGCCTCAGGAAGCTTTGGTCATCATCTTAACCCTTACACAACTGGGTCCCCAACACCTCCCCAAGGGTGTTGTGGGAAAATTCATTAGCATTTCTTTAGTGGGCCCTCAATCACAGTCAGTCTGATCATCTACACGGGACTTACCCTGGTCACCTCAGACTGCTGCAATACCATTTCTCATGACTCTAAAGGCTGGAAAGCCCAAATCACATACAGATTGTCTGGTGAGCGCTCACTTTTTTGTAGACAGTTATAGTCTCACTTTCAGCTCATGTGGTGAAGCAGACGGAGGGTCTCACTAAAGCCTCCTTTACAAGGGCACTAATTCTGTTTATGGGGGTTCTGCTCTGACCTAATTACCTCCTACAAACTCACCTTCAAATGCCATAACCTTGAAGTGGAAATTTCAAGACAGGAGTTTTGGGTAGAATAAATATTCAGACCGTAGCAGGCTTCTCTGCTGCTGATGCCTGGCCTTAAATTTGATGCAGAGGGAAAAGTAACCATGCCAACTCTCTCCAGGCAGCAACAGGGGCTGGTGCCTGGCTCACATTTACCAGACCGTGAGAGGTACAGCAGGCAAACTGTGACTGAGGCATTTGGCAGGTCAATCTTCCCAGCTCCTTGCTTTAAATACCCACTTAGACCACATGTTAATATTGTCAGCAAGAGTCACTGTTGAAGAACTTAACTTGGATGAATTTGAGATGCGAGATAAAAGTGTCAGAGAGAATCCAGAGGCCACCAGCTGCTCACAACCTAAAGCCTGCATGTTAACCTGTTCACCTCTAATGCATTTGACAAGTTGCACCAGAATAGGGCATTTGAAGGTGAGTTTTTAGAAGGTGGTTAGGTCAGAACAGAGCCCCCATAAACAGGATTAGTGCCTTTATACAAGAGGCTTTCGTGAGCCTCTTTAGGATTTGATTTTTATATGTGCCTCATGAATGAATACTATTCCGTTTGCTTCCAACGCTAATCAGTGATTGTAGGGAACACTACTCAGAAGTAAAACATGAGAAAATCAATCCTGCAGTTTTCTTTTGAATAAAAAAGCAAGGGCCATTAGAAGAAACTGATCAAGTGAAAGCCAATAGGACTCCAGTATTGAAAAGTCAAAGTGTAACACAGCACATGATATATTTTGATAGTGTGAATTTCACTGTTTTCATTAGACTTGAATAAAATATGTTGATGTTCAAGATTCCTATTAATTCTTTTCTGTGTATCATTTATTACACTTATGTAATATTTATTAGTCTCTCTAGGTTTATGGATATTTCTTTTTCCTTGGTGAAGATATGTTACAAAGATCCCAAGCACATGATTTTACTATGCTGTTTGCACAAATGCACTTACTGTGGTTCAGTTGGCTTTAATAAATATTCTTGATTCTGAAAGAATATTAAGTATAGATATATTTTATCACTATTAAGTTTGATTCCAATTTTGGGCCAGAATTGTAGTTTAGCATCATAAATTGTATGACTACATTTTACAGTACAGTGTTCTTCACTTCTTAGATCTCTTGAAAAACTGAATATTGATGGAAATGATTTGTTTTACTTGCCATCTGGAATTTTGAAGCTTAACCTCACAAAAATCTCCTTGGAGAATACTTTTACTCATCACAGATTTTGGCCAGAGAATTCTTTGAATAGTCCCCAGAAGCTTACTCAAATTACTGCTTTGTTCATTGTCAGAAATAAACTACATACATCTTATAAAGTGATCCCAGTGAAAACTCAAAGGTTACTAAAATGGTAAGTATTTTCTAAAGTGTTTTTAGTCAAAGTACACCCTTTGCTCCACTCTCTTCTATCTCTCTCTCTTTCTTTCTTTCTCTTTCTTTGCAGTACTGAAGATTTAAATCCAGGGCCTCACACAGTGAGCTACATCCCCAGCCTTTTTAATTTTATTTGAAGCAGTTTTATTAAGCTTCTCAGGCTGACCTTGAAGTTGCAATTCTCCTGCTTCAGCCTCCCAAGTAGCTGAGATTGTATAGGTGTATGTCACAGCGTTCAACCAAAATGACACCTTTGAGTATTTTAATCTTCTTTATTATATGACAGCTTTAGTAACACACCTACATACCATACTACACACAAAACCACATGTACATGATTCTCCCAATTTTCCCTTCTAGATTTTCAAGTACAATAATATAGTCTGAATTCAGTCCATTTCCAAGTATTCTCCAATTATTATTTAACTCCAAAGTGAAGGGTGGGATGGGGAGGTGTAGCTGGAAGTATCAGTTATGATCAGAACATGCAGTGAATATTTACATTTGTTAAACATTGTTTATACTAAAAGATACTTTGCCCTTAATTTCCCTCAAAGTACTCTGCCTCTGCCAAGCTCATTGATGTCCCTGTTATTCTCACTTTGGGGAGCAGTCTAGAAGTCTTCTTTCACGTCTTTATGAAGTATGATAAAAAATATAGTTAATGCTGCTGCTGAATGTCATCCAATGAAAAGGCAGGTTCCTAAAAGGCATTACTGTGTCCCCATCCACTCCATTCCCAGATCTGTCACCATGAAACACTTGGCTCTTTTCTATAGTCAGAATGACCATCAAAGGTAGGTGGGTTAAGCCAGTTCAGGACATCAAGGTAACCACAACAGCACAACTAAAGACTCAAAGGAGGATTTCCAGAACTGCCTCTGATAGTGGGAGGCGCCATGGCATAAGTGGCTTTGAAGGAAGGAAAAGGATTTTGAGGATTCTTCACAGCAACACATTTTTTACTGTAATAAATTTTAAAAACGTAAACGTTGCTGTGTTTATGATATCTCATAGCTATTTAACTATTGCATCAATATTTTCTATGAACTACTAAAGTACGTAGAAGTTGTTTCTTTAAAAGAAATTGTTTAGTCCCAGGAAACATGTATTACTATCTTGATAGAGACCAGCAACGGAGCAACATGGAATAACTTCCTTTCCTCGGGTATCAGTGAGTTTTCAAATCATTGCCTATGCACAAGACGAGGATTCCTGAGTTTCGCACGGTCTCAGTCCACTCTCATTTCTTTCATATAATATGAATGAACCATTTTTATTTACCCATCAATAGTTTTTGGACTATTGATTTAATGAATACACCTGAGTAAAATAGTTTTCTACAAATGTATTAATTATCAATACTGACTCAATAAAAAGCAGATGCTATTTTCGGGGTATAAGTGTCCCCCAGAGGCCTCTGTGTTAAAGCTTCGTTCCCTGGGTCAGTGCTACTGGGAAGCAGTGGAGCCTTTAGAGGGAGGCCTAGTGAGAGCCCCACAGGTCACTGGGAGTGTGCCCTGAAGGGGACCCTGGGACCCAGCCGCTGCTTCTTTCTGGTTTGCTTCCTGCCCACGAGAGGATCCCGCCACTTGCTCCTACTATACCATGTTGCGTCATCACCAGCTCCACACAATGATGCCAGTCAATAGTGGACTGGGATCTCCTAAACTGTGGGCCAAATGAAACTATCTTCACAAGGTCATTATCAGATACTTTCTTGTGGTGATAGAAAGGTGACTAACATAGCAGACAAGTAGAACAAGCTGGAAACCACTGGAGAAGCTGAAAACAGTGATTGGAGGGAACTGATAGAGACAGAACAAGGCTCAGAAATTTTTGATATTCATGCATGGAGATGTTAGTGCTCATAAAATTTGATTGCACGTAAGAAAGTAAAATAATAATAATAATAATCCCTGAGGGCAAAACTTGTTTCTACAGAATTAAAAGCTAATTAGTGAGTGATAACTATATACAGGGCCACAAGAATTGCAGGGAATGTCAATCTGAATTTATTGAGTTAAATATGAAACTGAAACAACTTCTCTCTAAGAACAAGCACTACACTACATAGTCATTTTTATACTGTTTTTGTTTGAGAAAACTATATATATATATAAATCTGTGTGTGTGTGTGTGTGTGTGTGATACAACTTCTATAGTATCCATCGCAGTGTTTTTACTTTAGTAAAAACTTTGATGATGTTTCCTCCATTTCAGCACGTCCAGGTGTGAATGGTGTCGTGGTCCCAAGTTTGGTGAAGGTTTTGGTGTCATCCGATCCTGCAATATTTTTGGAGCATCACAGCTTCCTATTATGTTTCATGTCTGTTCTTCTTCCTGTTATAGAGAATTAAGAGAGACCAGTTTTATTTTAAAAGGATTTTCTGGCAAAAAAATAGCTTTAAATATGGACTGGGTAAGTGAAAGAAAGCGCAGTGATATGCCAGTGATTCTGTAGATACCAATGAAGTTTATGTGTAAGAAATTCACGTCTTTGAGAGCACACGTTCTGAATGGAAGACATCAGTGTCCTCATGTATGGTGCTCAGTGTAACCAGAGCTCCGCACAGAAGCTTATGATTGTTATGAAATTGTGGTGGAAATATTACTCTGGAAGAATTAGTCACAAGCCTTTGGATTTCAATGAAGATCCAGAAAACTTGTTTCAGAGTCTGTTTACTGTAGAAAGATAGCTGTTCAAATCCTTTGAAAAAGAATTGTTTCTTAGATCTGTTCTTTTCATACATTCCTATTAAATGATAAGGTAGAACTTCAAAGTCAGTCCTGAGTTTTTGCTGTATATGGCTTCAAAGTTATGTACCTATATAGTCAGTATTTGTGAATTTCTGTGGAAATTCAACCAGTGGCAACTGTATGCATTGTGGTTTGTGTTTGGGAATAAAATGTTAATTCCAGTTTGTTGTTTAAATTCATTTTTAAGGCTCTTAAAAAAAACAGGTACAATCATTAATAATTATCTTGATCTTCATCACCTAAAGCTGAGATACAGAGCTTTAACCTGGTTCTATATGCTAGCACTACCTTTACCAAGGTTTTGGGTGATGACCCGGGAAGAACTTACAAAATTGCACTGCAAAAAGACATGGATCTATAATAGAGCTTGAAGCTTTAAGGATTAATGTTTGGTAAGAGGAAGAAAAAACAAGCATTTTGATATCACAGTATTAGATAGCATAGGATTATTTAATGTATGGCATGTCTTTTATGTGTATCTAATTTAAATATAAAGCACTGCTAATTAAACTTAATGAAATAAATTTATATAGCTATTTTATCATGAGAGGATGTCAGAAGATGTGCATGATGTCAGGCTTGTGTCATCATTTAACAATAATTAAAGATAAAGTGATAAGACAAAATAATTTTTGTGACTACTGAATTGATTAAATTTGGATATCTAGCCAGGCATGGTGGTACACACCTATCATAGGATCACAAGTTCGAGCCCAATCTGAGCAGTTTAGCAAGATCCTTAAAAATAAATCTGAAATGTTCCCCAAAGGCTGCATATACAGAAAGCTCACTTCCCGTCCTGTGGTGCCATTGGTAGGTAGAACGGACTTTAAGAGGTGAGGCCTTGTGAAAGGAAGCTAAGTCACGGGGTGGGTACCTTTGAAGGGGATTTTGGAAGGCTGCCTCTTTCCTGTTCTTTGCTCTGGCTGCCATAATGTGACCAGGTCTTCTCTGCCTTGCTCTCCTACCATGGTTTTCTGTGCTGCCACAGGCCCAAGTGATCATGGACTGAAACTTCTGAAAACTGTAAGCCAAAACCAAACTTGCTTCTTTCTAAGTTTATTTTCTCAGGGCAACAGAAAGTTAACACAAGGGATATTGCCTTTACCATGCCTGTCTGTGGTTCCAATGCCCCTGGAATAAGTTTATGAGAATTTGGAATATATGGAGAAGCCAACCAGAGAAAACCTAGGACACAATAAGCAGAGATTAACAAGCCATTCTGGAGAAGGTTCAGATAACTGGGACCGTAAAATTTGGTAATAAGGACTCTATTGGGCATTGAACTAGGGTCGTTCATGCTATGTTTTGGCAAATTTGTCTACATTCCTTCTATGCCCTGAGACTTTATATGAGGCAGAATTTATAGGTGATGGACTAGTTTATCTGGAGGAAGAAATTTCTAGAGAGCACAACATTCACACTATAGTGTGGGTATTACTGAATGCTTTTAGCTAGATTAACAATGAGCATTGGAAGTATAAAAGCGAAGTGGAAAGGGAGATCACTTAAAGTTGTGGTCAAGGAGGTTTTGAGAGTAGCACCATTAAAAAAAGAGCCAAGCCCTTTGTACTGGGAAAACAGGAGAGATATATTCAGGAAAACTCCGAGCCCACTGATGGTAGGTGTGACTGTAAAAATGTGACCCTGTCTACTGAGAAGATTGTAAAGTACTACATGGCACTGTTGCTCCTGGAGACAATGAGGTGGGGGTGTGGAAGGACCAGTGCTCAACCGGGTAGCCCACATTCTCCAGCCTCGGCTGATGCAGCAGCAACCAAGTTTCTAGCTAAGCACTGGCCTAGGGCCTCTGCTTCCTATGGGCTCAAGAGGTTAGGGGCTGAGCCTGAAATTTCTTGCACAGGAAGGCCAGATGGCAGGCTGTTCTGCAGTGGTAATACAACCTCTGCAGGCCAACCTTCCCCCTCCACTGCTCTCCATCTCACCCACACTTTCTCTCCTCCACTTCCCAGCAGTGCAGGTTCATGCCCAACTGGAAAGCCTCAGTGGGCTTCACATATATACATTGATTTCTTCTAGGAAATGGACAACTAACCTAGGCAGCCATCATGCGTGGGAAGGTAAGGAGATGGAAGGTGATTCTTCTCCAAGAACCCAGATTCAGGGGCCTCACTTCCCATGAGGTATAGAAAAGCAGAGGTCAGATAACTTGCACATCACTTTGTAGCTCATTAACTTGACACAGAACAGGGACTCAGAAAGGGTAGCTCTCATTTTTAATGTCAAAATTTATGTCTGCTCGGGCCAAGTTCAATTCTGTCTTTTCCTACAAAATGACTGTCTGCAAGGGAAATATAGTTGCTTATTTAATAAATAGATTTTAAACAAATATTTCTTTAATGATATCTACGATATTTATATTATAAACACAGTGACCTTTCCAGATGATTGAATGTCAGTTGACGATCTCTTATTTTTTTTCATTTGTTGCTTTCACTACATTTTGGGGAATATAGGAGAGTGTAGAGAATAATAACAAAATTGATTCTTCTTTTTACTTTCTCCAACTTGTGCTTAATTAAGCATCTCTAATCTTTAAATGGGATTCCTCTGGCTACTGACTACTGCAAATGTTCCAAGTGTAACTAATTTCAGGAATCTATAGAGCTACAAATCAAGACTGCCAACTCATTTCCACCACTTGGCCACTCTTGCATGCTAAGGAGTTCTATTTGCTACCAATAAGAAATGCTGTACATTTGGTTAGAAAATGATTGTTGGAAGACACATGTAGTGGGGATCATTGGAAGAGCTCTTTTCTTGCATACTTGTTGAGAGACCTAGGGATTAATTGTTTTGTAAGTGGAAAAAAGAAAAAAATAATATTCATATTAACTGTTAAGTAAGTTTTTCAAATTAGTGTCATCATCCAGATCTCACCAATCTTGTCAGCTAAGTTCAACCCTAGACCCTTTGTGAAAATATGATTGTGGGATGTCCTACAGAAGAGACATGGGCTGTATTGGCACAAAGATGCAGCACAGAGCCACCTCTTGGGACTCAGAAGACTTCTATTGAGTCACCAATCGAGTCAAGTAAACAAGGTCATTATTGCAAAATGCACAGCAGAGAGTTATGGGAGATGAGACTAGAGAAATAAACAGGACTGTGGTCATGACACTGTCACACAGCAAACCAAAAAACCAAAGTGTGATGGTGCCTCCCTCTAATTACACTGTGGGAGACTGAGGCAGGAGAATCACAAGGTTGAGCCCAGCTTTAGATACACAGTGAGACCTTGTCCGAAACAAACAAAAACATAGCATGCTAAGCAGTGAGTGAGTCAAAGAAAGATATTCAGAATAGAATAATGTGATAAATATGGATCCTACATGGATTACTCTGGCAGATTTGTCGAAAAAATTATGAGATGAGGCTAAAATTTCTAACCAGGCAGAAGAGTAGTAGTGTGAAAAGTTTTAAAAAAATTATTAGAATATCAAATTGGTAGAATATCAAATAGTGTTGAACATAAGGGAGAGACAGAAGTCTCTAGGATGATTCTCTGATTTGTATTTTATGGGAGAAAAAAATATGAAAAAAACCTATCTCATTTCATCAAAGCCTGTACCAGTCATTTATAAAAAGTAGTTTGTAGTACTGATATTACAAACTGCATGCTTTTTAGATTCACATTGCATTCTCCTCTGGGCACAAAAGGGAACGTAAGGATAATTTATATAAATCTGGCATATTAAAGATTTTAGATTTATCTAACAAGAGTAATCATTCTCTATAAAAGGATTTTGTTAGGAAATTAATCTTCATATGATATCTTTCAATTGTTATACATGAACTGATTAATGCTCCATAGAAACTTGTCTCTTTTCTTTTATAATTTTTACACTTATTTTTGAAAAAGTTTTATTTTTATTAGTGCATGTCACAGTACACAGTGACAGTTCCTCACAGTGACTGGTGCATAACACGTCTTAGTTCTTTGTTCATGCCCTTTTCCTTGTACTCCTCCGTAACTTTATCTCTTGTTATTCTTCATATTTGCAAAAGATCTAACTCCCTGTCTTACCATATTTTTTATTTTGCTCTTTAATTTGTTTACACTTTGGATTTCTTATACAAGAGAGACCACACGTTATTTAAACCTTTTCACCCTTTATTCTAATCCATGGGCCCACAAGTCTGTTTTTGTACAAGTTTCATGCACAAGTTTCATTCACTGCAGCTTTGCAATACAACCTGTAATCTAGAATGGGGATGCCCTCTTTGCGCTTGTTGCCCAGTATTATTTTTGCTATTCTGGGTGTCTTTTGATGCCATAAAATATTTTAGGTTTGCCTTCTCTAGGTTTGCAAAAGATCCAGTTGGTATTTTGATTGAAATTGCTTTATGTTTACATATTAATTTTGGAAGTAATGGCCATTTGACAATATTGGTTCTGTCTAGGAACAAGGGACATCTTTCCATTTTCTGATGTCCTCTTTGATCTCCTTTTACTGAGTACCTTTCACTTTAGAAGTCTTTCACTTTGTTAGGTTAGTTCCTAAATATTTAATTTTTCTTCTTGCTATTATGAATGGTACTGTTTTCTTAATTTCTTTTTTGATGGATTTGTTGTTCATGTACAGGAACACTATTGATTTTTGTGTATTGATTTTATATCCTACTGGTTATGATTTGTGTTTAGATATCTCCTCAAAACATCATGTAGTCACAGGGGGGACGTTCAAAGGTGGCTGAATCTACAGTGTGTGACACTGGAATGGATTCATGATACAATGCTAGGATCAAAGGCATTAGGATTAAGGATGTGCGTCCTAACCACCCTGAGTAAGCTGGATAAGATAAAGGATAGAGAGAGCCGTAGATGCCCCTTATTGCTTTGCTGTCTTCTGCCTACTATGAACTGTTTCTCCTCTGCAATGCCTGTCTGACCTGGCCTTGAAGCCAGCCAGTTACCGACTGAAACCTCTACAAACCATGAGCTAAATAAACCTTTCCCCTTTTAATTTTGGGAGTTAGGTATTTTGTCTCAGCAATGAATAAAAAGTAACTAAGATACTGCTA